GCCAGTGAAGCAATGTCCTCCACAACTAAATTGAAGAACAAAACGACAGCAACTTGCCTGTTCCCCTTTCCCCAATTCCCCAACACTGTTCCCATTCCCCCAATTCCCCAATAAAAATCTTAAAAAAAAAAAAAAGTTTTTGCACAAAAAGGAAACCACCAACAAAATGAAGAGACACTCTACTGAATGGGAGAAGATATTCGCCAATGATACATCTGATAAGGGGTTAATATCCAAAATTTATAAAGAACTCATACAACTCAACACCAAAAAGCAAAACAAACAATTTAATTAAAAAATGGGCAGAGGACAGGAATAGACATTTCTCCAGAGGACATACAGATGGCCAGTAAACATATAATAAGATGCTAGTCATCAGAGAAATGCAAATAAAATCCATCATGAGATACCGCCTCACTCCTGTCAGAATGGCTATCATTAATAAATCAACAAACAACAAGCGTTGGCAAGGATGCAGAGAAAAGGGAACCCTTGTACATTGTTGATGAGATTGCAAATTGGCGCAGCCACTGTGGAAAATAGTTTGGAAGTTCCTCAAAAAATTGTAAGTAGAACTACCTTATGACCCAGCAATTCTACTTCTGGGTGTTTATCCAAAGAAATCAAAAACACTAATTCAAAAAGATATGTGCACCCCTATGTTTATTGAAGCATTGTTTACAATAGCCAAGATATGGAAGCAACCCAAGTGCCCATCAATAGGTGATTGGATAAAGAAAATGTGATACATATATACAATGAAATATTACTCTGACGTAAAAAAAGAATGAAATCTTGCCATTTACAGCAACACGGATGGACCTAAAGAGCATTATGCTAAGTGAAATAAGTCAGACTGAGAAAGACAAATACCATATGATCTCACTTATATGTGGACTCTAAAGAACAAAATAAACAAACAAACAAAACAGAAACAGACTCATGGATGCAGAGAACAAACTGATGATTGCCAGAGGGGAGGGGTATTGGAGAGCTGGGTGAAAAAGGCAAAGGGATTAAGAAGTACAAATTGGTAGTTACAAAATAGTCACTGGGATGTAAAGTACAGCATAGGGAATATAGTCAATAATGTTGCAACAACTATGTATAGTGCCAGGTGGGTACTAGACTAATAGGGGATCACTGCATAAATTATATGAATGTCTAACCACTATGCTGTACACCTGAAACTAATAGAAAATTGAATGTCAACTCTAACTGAAAAAAAAAATTTTAATAAATAAAAATACCTTTTCATTAAAAAAAGGAGAGAAAGAGAGAGAGAAGTCTGAAATGACTCCTTGCCCTGGGAAGTTGTGAGAATGGAAAGGGTAGCACAGGTGTGTAGAGAACATGAGAGAAAGACATTGAAGGCAAGATGATTGAAGTTTTGCTCTAGAGACTGACATTATTGATTCCATTCACAGAGATAGGGGACACAGGAGGAGGAAGGAGTGAATTTAAGGGACAAGATGTTGACTTTTATTTGAAAGAGAAATTTTCAGTTTCAAAATAAATGCTGTTCATTTTCAA